GGCGGAAGCATAGAATCAGTAAAATGAGGGTCTGAATGGATGGGGGGGGGGTACGAATGTCACTTGTCAGTTAACTTTTGGGCCATTTATCAGTTGTCAGTTAAATTTTCGGCCATTTGTCAGTTGTCATTTAAATGACTGTTAATGATTAACTTAGCAAGTTAATTATTACTTTCCGACCCTATAATTTTGGATGAAAAGCACATATAGGGTAAACTCGAAAATTAAATCGAAAACTGATACAATAAGAACTGCTTTTTCTGAGTTCTGGAATGAAATGAGATCTTTGACATGACTTTCAGTCATTGTCTAAGTCAGTTACGACCCTTCTGAACACAAGCATATACAGCGCATATATAGCGCACATATAACGTAAACTTGAAAATCTTTCAGTCGAAAACTGATACAATAAGAACTGCTTTTTCTCANGAAAAATCAATAAAGCATTGTGGCTTTTGTGTTTGATGATTTACAGCATAGAAGCTGCAGTATGTGTTGGGTGACCAAGAACTGTTGTGTTCTGTTCTTTTGTTAAATGGAGTGTTTTGTTATTTTAATTTCTTTTTTATGATTGGATTTCTTTAAACTTAAGGTTGTTCAGTTTATCCACAAGAAATTGTTGCCTTCACAAGGCAAAGTTCGACTATCACAAGTCCTGGCTATCCATCCTATTACACCTATTACTTGGACTGTACTCGACATATCCAAGCTGATCTCATTGGTGCTATAGTGAAGGTGACATTTAACGACTTTCAGGTCAAACAGGGACTTTTTGGATATTTTTCTGATGATAGGTTGGACTTTTATGACGGTAACAGCACTGTGTCCAATCTCCTTGGGTCCTATTGTTGAAAAGTGCATCCTGAGGTTATTTACTCCACTGGTCGTCATCTGCTTGTAAGGTTCTCGTCTGATGGAATAACTAATTACAGGGGTTTCAGTTTGAATGTCTTAGCGGCTTCTAAAGGTAACTTATTCATTATTTTCTTATCGTTCACTTCGTTCTATTTGTATTATGTTTTATGATTTGGAAATTGGCTTCTGTAAACAGTTTCATTCGCTCTGACGAAGGGATAACTCTCAAAGCGTCAGCTCTCTTTCCCCCGCCACAACAAGTTTTTTTGGGCTGAAAAATAACTCTCCGCCAAACTAAACGACTTAAGAATTATGGGTAATCGATCAACTTTAACATTTAGAAAAAAACATAACATGCAGTAGCCTGTAACGAAAAAAGACACAGTGATTGCAATGGCAAACATGCAAATTGTTGTAAGAATTTTGTCTTGAGTCTTTAAACTCCAAGAGTGACTGGCTTCTAATTTCTCTGGAATAAAGAAAATGATCGCCAACCTAGGAGGTTTTGATTGTTAGACGAATTCTCCCTGTCAGTACGAAAGTGAATGTACAGAGAGGGGTGTGGAGAATTATGGGATATTTATGTTAGCTGGGGGTTGGAAGAGATTCAAAGAATAAAAAGTAGTCACCTCGGTGCAATTTTCCCTTTCGTAAACGGCCGTTGCCATTTGAAACGGTCGTTACCATTTTGAAACGGTCGTTGCCATTTCCGATAACAGTCGTTGCCATTCATTACAAAATGGCAACGACTGTTTCGACAAATGACAATGACCGTTTCAAAATGGCAACGAC